AGGAAGTGTTTGAAGAGGCTTGTAGGATTGTTCTTTCGCCTCCTCCGGTTAAAAAGAAAAGTACATGTCAGATATTGTAATTTTTTGACCCAATGATGTACAAGTACTTAAACTTGAAATGCACAGATTATAACACACTGTTATTATTATTATTATTATTATTATTATTATTATGGTTATTATTATTATTATTATTATTATTATTATTATTATTATTATTATTATTATTATTATTATTATTATTAATTATTATTATTATTATTATTATTATTATTATTATTATGGTTATTAATGTTATTCATATTAATGATGTTGTTATGATGCACAATATTTACATATTACCCACAAGAACTTAATTTTGAAAACAATGTATGCACAATCATTTTTAATTGCTATTTTTTATATCATAAAATTATTACTAGGAATTATTATAATTATAAATAAAATAAAGATTTCGGCCAAAAAAGAAAACGATGCCATTAAGAAAAAAAATAAAAAGTTTAGCAAAGATAACCAAAACCAAGGGAATACAAAAGGTATAATGTAAGCTCCACCCATAGCCCCACCCCTCAGTATTAATTAGTTATTATGTACCAATGGTATCATCATTTATCTATTTACTTTGTGGAAGGATCCAATTTCCTTATACTTGTCAGGGACTGCCATACAGTTAAGATCATCTTGATCTCTAATTGCCTGCAGTGGGTCTTATACTGAAATGAACACAAAATGGAGTCCACTGACTTGGAAATCACCACAACAGAGTAATAGATCTATTTTAATTCCTTCTCTCTCTTGGAGTTTGAGTAGTTTATCATAAATAAGGTCTAACTTCCCATGACAGCAACCCTCTATGGCTATCTAGGGAAGAAAAGGGATGATAAAATAATAACTTGGTCAGTACCTTCATTTTGAGTAGGAGCACGTGGTTAAAGATTACGTACTCAGACGGAGAGTATACGGAGAAATATGTTTGTGGGCGTTACCTCATAACAAAATGGCAGCTAAAGGTCCTGGAAAAGGTCACTCACTATCACTATTAGTGTATCATTCAGTTACTGTTACCTCTTGTTATCCATAGACTATCAACCAGTGAAGAGGAAGTACCACTCCACTGTACGGGTAGGAGACTACCTGTATATGTGGGGTGGGACCCAGCCTGATCTCCCTAAAGTACATAATAATGAAAAGAAGAAATCAATGTGTTCTGTGATGGAGGTGTACCACTTGGTGACTGGTAGGTGGGAGCAGAAACCCACCACTGGTAATCCTCCACTGGGTTTTAAGAGCTATGCAGCTGCTGCCATTGGAAATGAAATATTTTATTTTGGAGGAGAATGTGGTCATGATGACTGTTATCATAATAGTTTATACAGGTAAACATGATAGTTACTGATAAATATAATATAATATTTTATACAGTTTTAATG